ATTTAAATTATCCAGTCTAACTCTTGCCTCTGGGCTTTTACCTGTCTATATACCTTTCTTCTTACTCTGTGGCTTGTTGTGTAGCTGGCCCCTGGAGTCCTCCTCTCCTCCTTTTCTAGATCTTTTCTCTTCTTCTCCTTCTTTTAATTCTCTTTGACTGCCAGCCTCACCTATCCTTTCTCTTCTGGCCTGCACACAGAACACGGTATATATAATAAATCTTAAAAAAGAATGCAACAAATCTATGCATCGTTAAACAAATGTTCCATAGTATAAACAAATGTAACACATCTTCAACTACTATTCTACAATAGTAACACCCAGTCATGGTCTTTGTGTGGTCGTCTCATGGAGTGTTTAAGATGGCTGGTGCTGGTACAAGGTGGCCAAGGCTGCAAACAGTCCAATAGCTGTTGATTAGGGAATCTGATTGCCCTACCAAAAGAGTCTTTGATCTTATAGGAAAAACTTTTAGGAAAACGGACAGCAGGATAAGAACATCAAGTTTATAGACTTCAATATAAACTTGAGGAGCTTGTTAATACTAACACTGGTTTTTAACAAACTTAAACAGTGCTCATCACTTGCCCGTGCCCAAGGCACAGGTGGAGCCAACCCCCCCATCAGTCTCAATTCTGCTAAGACAACATTCATGGGGTAGGCAAACTAAAATATTTATTTGTTTAGTGTACATGTGGGGTACACATGTGGGAGCCCAAAGTGTAGTTTGAGTTCTCACCTAGTATGTGGGTCCTGGGGGTTGAACTCAGGCTGTCAGTTTGACAGCAAGTGCCTTGTTCGATAAAAACAAAATATGTAAGGCACACATATAAGAGGTGGTGATACCAAGGGGCATCCGTACTTCAAACCCTCTGTGGTGCAGAAGAAGGAACAGGCAAAAGCAGGGCTTTCTGGTGTCTGTCAGGTGTTTGCTGAGAGTCTTATCAGGGCTCTCTACAGGAATCGGATTGACAGAAAGGGATTCCTTAGGTCAGCTATGGGCTCTGTCCTCCAACAACAGCTGTTTACACGGGAGAGGTAGAATGTAGTTGTTGAAAGTTACACCGACCGGATGCCTCGGCCATCCCAATCTGATGAGGAAAGCCTCGAGGATTCCTGGAGAGCCACGTTGGAAGGCCAAAGAATCTGGGTTTCCTGTGTCAGACAAAGTGGCAATAGGAGAGATGTGCTTATCAGCAGACAGAGCAAACACACCAGGACTCCTTTGCCTCAGATGCTCCGTATCTGGACTGCCAGCAGCAGGTGCTACCCAGCTAAGGGAAGGGTCTTTTCTCCTCATTTAATCCTTTCTGGAAATGCCCAGGGGTGTGCCTTATTGATCCCAAAACCAATGGATTTGAAATCATGATTAACCATAACACTGAGTTATTTAAATTTGACATGTGGAAGACAAACCCCCTTATATAAACAGTGAAAATATTTAGGACACAAAACCATGCAAATGAACATGCAGCCCTTTGAGTCTATGCCCATTCACTCAGCAGAATGCATTTGAAATTCACGTGACCTTCTACTCGTCAGGCCTTTCTGTTTCCTCATAATGCTCCCTTCTATGATGTGTCCATTCACTAGCTGAAGGCTTCTGGGTTTGTTTACAGTTTGGAGACAATGAATAAAGCCGCTACACACACTTGAATCCTGCACTGAACTGTGTTCTTGTGTGAACACAGCTTTTCATTTCATTTCTCATTCATTTCATTCACAGAGAGCAAGGACTGGGCTCCACGGTTACGTATGGATAAGTCTGTGAACCAGCGCCCGATGCTTCTGCAGACTGCCCTGTTTGCTTTGCGTCACACGGTATCATGTGATAGCTCTGGTTGCTGCACAGCCTCACCAGCAATTGGCATTGTTCAGTTTGGGGGACAGAAGAGGACAATATTTTTATTGTTGTCATTGTAAAGGTTGTGTGTGTGTGTGTGTGTGTGTGTGTGTATGTGTGTGTGTTTGTGTGTGTGTGTTCTGAGCCATGCATGCTAGCGTGCATTCCTACCCCAGTCTTCTAAATGTCCCCTTAATGTCTTTGTAAACCATTGTGGAGCTTTGAGGCTTTAGGTGTGAAAGGGGACGTAGCCCAGGCTACTCTAGATACTTGAAGGTAGGAGGACAGTATTTTTACTGTCTGTTGAAAACCTTGTCATCCTCACATGTCTATTAATGCCACTGCAAACACTTTTTTTTTCAAGACAGGGTTTCTCTGTATTGTTTTGGAGGCTGTCCTGGAACTTGCTCTGTAGACCAGGCTGGTCTGAAACTCACAGAGATCTGTCTGCCTCTGCCTCCCAAGTGCTGGGATTAAAGGCGTGCACCACCAATGTCCAGCTGCAAACACTTCTTAGTAATGTTTAGTTTTGTTTCTTCCCCAGAACCTGGGCCCTATCCCGGGATTGTGGACCTTTTCGGAGTTGGAGGTGGCCTTCTAGAGTACCGTGCTAGTCTGCTGGCTGGGAAGGGCTTTGCTGTCATGGCTCTGGCTTATTATAACTACGACGACCTCCCCAAGGGCATGGAGACCATGCGCATAGAGTACTTTGAAGAAGCCGTGAACTACCTGCTCAGCCACCCTGAGGTTAGATCTCCCTCATTTCATTGGCTCCTGTCATGTCTCCTCATCAGGTGCTTGGTTCACAAGTGAGGAATGATGACAGCCTCTCTGTCTACTTCACAAAGAGCTCAAGGCCATTGGAGATCTCTAGGTTTGATACAAGGAAAGGGAAAGAAACAGGTAGGGCCACCGCCAGCCAGTGCTCCTTAAATGATGTGCTCAGCAGCCCTCTCCTGCCTGTGTCCCTGTGTCCCCGGGTCCCTAGGAGGCATAGGGTGAACTTGACAGTCAACAGCAGGAGACCAGGGCTCTGAGCTTTGCAGATCCAGCCCAGCACAGGCTGAGGTGGGAATCCTGCTTGTTTTATAATTTTATAACCAGAACTTAAAGTGACCGGCAGCGTTGGCGCGCTCAGAGAAGCAGAGCTGCGTCTGGAGAAGTTTGAGAATAGATCTTGTCCATTTCCCGTCCCACGACTTTGTCACTTCTGCTCTGTCTACTCCTTTGATAACTAGATATCCTAATTTCATCTTTGTTGCTGTAGCTGAAAATAAAAATATCCCAACAAAAGCAATTCATGGAGAAAGGGCTTATTTTAACTCACAGTTACAGCTCACAGTCCATCAAAGTAGAGAAGTCACTGGGGCAGATGCTGGTCATATCATATTCACAATGGGGACTGCAGAGCCAAGAATGTGCCATGCTAACGCTAAGCTCTCTTTTCTCAGCTTTATACAGCTTAGCTTAGGAAATAATGCCACCTACATTCATAGTGGGCATTCCTACTTCAATAGTGACATTAAAAAATTCTCTTAAGGAGCTGGAGAGATGGCTCAGAGGTTAAGAGCCCTGGCTGCTCTTCCAGAGGACCTAAGTTCAATTCCCAGCACCCACATGGTGGCTCACAACCATCTGTATTGAGATCTGGTGCCCTCTTCTGGCCTGCAGAGCACTCATATATAAAATATAAATAAAAAATTCACTTAAAGGAGTGTCTATAGGTCAACCCAGCCTAGGTTCCTCATTTTAGCCCCTTCCCAGGTAAGTCTAGACTGTGTCAAGGTGACAATTTAAACTTTCCTAGTAGGGTAATTAAAACATCATTGATCATGTAATTATTAGAACTTTAATGAAGAGTTACATTTAAAAGTGGTCAAGGGTACTGTTGCCAAAGGAGTAGGAGGGAGGAGAAAGAGATTGATTGATTGATTGATTGATTTGATTGATTGATTTCTATAGGAGGTCAGCCAAAGAGCCATTTGCTTATAGGCAGAGGACGCTGGCATTCAGGGCAGGGGCAGTCCTTGTGCGTCAGCGCCAACCCCAACCACCCAGAAGGCACCGCGTAGGGATGGAAGAAAGGAGGCACAACAGACATCTTCCCACAGGTTTGCAGGGAACCAGGGTGCAGAACAAAGTCATAGCTAGTGTGGCCCGGGACACAGGGCTGTGAGGAGATAGAAGAGGCTCAGAGCAGGGAGGACCTGGGGACCAGCAGAGAGAAGTCGAAAGAGGGGAGGCTGGAAGTAAGTGTGGGAGGCCAACCCTGGAGCAAGATCGTGGACAGCATCCCAAAGGCAACTAGAGGTGGCCGCTGAGATTTTGTGGGACATCTGAGAATTTGAGCTGCCATGGGAGTAGGTAGATTGGGGAGTGAGAAAATGAGACATCCTCCTGACAGCTTCGGTCTCCTCAGTGCAGTATGAAAAGCTGAAGGTGGGGGTGTGGGGGGGGAGGGGGGTCTCGAGGTCGGGGAGGATGTGAGGTGGCCGTTTGGAGAAGTGGGAAGATGTCTGGCAGGGCTGATGGGCCACGCCAGTGCTGGTGTCAAATGCCAGATCAGCCAGCAGGAATGTGCCTTTCTGATAGCCCCACCAGGCCTGGAGGAGGTGAGCATGTGACTTCACCAGGATTAGTCCTTTCCTGGGTCAGTATGACAAGGGGATGATGGCAATAAAGGAGTGTAAGGCGCCCGCAAGGGGGGCACTCTGACGTGGAGGGGCTGACTGGCTGAACATGGGTGATCTACGGCGGGGAGGAGGCTGTTAAGGCCTCAGAAGGCAGAAAGGCATGTTTCTAGAAGGACTAAGCAGGAGAGATGGTGGCCAGAGATGCAATGCTTAAAAGTGAGATTGTTTTGAACCTGAAACAATTCATGCTAGTGACAAGAGGTTTGGGTTATATAAGTGGGAATGGTTGGTGTGGTTGGGTTAGAGGAAAAGATCATAGGAGTTCTACAAATCCTTGCAAAGACTAATGACAAGGAAACTGTGACAAGAAAGCTATGGGGAAGGACTAGATAAATGTCCCCAGGCTGTAGTGCAGCTGTAATGTAACTAGATGGAGTCCAAGTCAAGGCCAACTTCCTCTTGGCTTTCTAGCTCTCACAGTGTTCCGGGGCTAAACCTCCATTTATAATTCGTTTCTTTCTCAGGTAAAGGGTCCAGGAATTGGGCTGCTTGGCATTTCCAAAGGGGGTGAACTTGGCCTTGCTATGGCCTCCTTCCTGAAGGGCATCAAAGCTGCTGTTGTCATCAATGGCTCTGTGGCTGCTGTTGGGAACACCATATACTACAAGGATGAGACTATACCCCCTGTGTCTCTTCTGAGAAATCAAGTCAGAATGACCAAAGACGGCCTCAAGGATGTTGTGGATGCTCTGCAAAGCCCTTTGGTAGAAGAGAAGAGCTTCATCCCCGTGGAGAGGTCTGACACGACCTTCCTGTTGCTTGTAGGTCAGGATGACCACAACTGGAAGAGCGAGTTCTATGCCAATGAGATCTCCAAACGCTTACAGGCCCATGGGAAGGAGAAGCCCCAGATCATCTGCTACCCAGAAGCGGGGCACTACATTGAGCCCCCTTACTTCCCACTGTGCAAGGCTGGCATGCACCTCCTGGTGGGTGCTAATATCACCTTTGGAGGGGAGCCTAAGCCTCATGCCGTGGCCCAGGTGGATGCATGGCAGCAACTCCAGACTTTCTTCCACAAACACTTGGGTAGTAAGAGTTAGGAGGTCATTCCTAAAATATTACCCATTATCTGATGGTTCTGGAGAAAACTTCAAATATACTATCAGAGTATCAGTTCTGTCTAATTCATATGGATATATTCTAATTCCTTAATTTTTTTTCTTTCTTTCTTTTTTTTTTTTTGAGACAGGGTTTCTCTGTGTAGCTCTACAATGGCCTGGAACTTGCTCTGTAGACCAGGCTGACCTTGAACTCCTGTAGATCTGCCTGCCTCTGTCTCCCAAGTGCTGAGACTAAAGGCGTGTGCCACCACTGCCCATCATAAGTTTTTTCTTTATGTAATAAAATAATAAGTGCCTATGAAAGACTGACGGTATAGCACAGTGGTAATGCATTCGTCTTCTGAGCATCGTGCCCTGAGCTCATTCCCCAGTGCCATGAGACAGCAAAGAAATTAAAGCTTACTTATAAAAATAGTGCCTGTTGAGCTGGTGAGACGGCTCGGTGGGTAAAGGGGCTTGCAGTCATGCTGACACCCCAGGACCCACATGGTGAAAGAGAGAGCCAAGTCTGAGAAGTTGTCTACACACACACATACACACACACACACACACACACACACACACACACACACTTGTGTAAATAAAATGTCATCTAAAATAGTGCCTATCCAAAAAAGGAGTTATTTTATATCATGATTTAAAGGGAACCTTAAGTATGAACATTCTTCTTAAAATAAAAAATTATTATAGACAAACTGATGGTGTCCTTCAATTCTTGGGCCAAGGTCGCTATTATTATCTTCCTTCAAGAAGTGGTTTTGGGGTGACTTGGAAGCCTCTTTTCAGATGCTTGATGCACATAGAGGAGGTAGTGAAAAGATTTTTGTTACACACATATCCAACAAGAACATCGATTTTACCAAGCAAACCAACAATGGGAGAAGAGTCCCCTGCATTTGATGAGCTCTAGGCCACGACAACATGGGGGGGGGAGAGGGAGGAAGAGCATCTAGTCCAGGAAGCAACAGAGCATCTGGAGGAGGAAACAGAGTCTAGGAATCCCAAGCTGTGTCAGCCTTCAAACCTGCCTGTGAGGCCAAGAAGAGAATGTGTGTAAGCATGCGCTCTTGTCCCCACGTGTAGTATCAGCTACTGGTCATGTGAGCACATGAGGACTCCTTCACCCAGTGCTAGGTTCATAACTGAGCCCTTATAACACAAGATAGGCAGTTAAGAGAAAGCCACAGAAACCTATTGAAATTTATTAATTTTGTTTTGATTTTTGGGACAGGGTTTCTCTGTGTAGCCCTGGGTATTCTGGAGCTCATTCTGTGGATCAGGCCAACATTGAACTCGCAGAGATTCACTTGCCTCTGCCTCCTGAGTGTTGGGATTAAAGGCATTTGCCGACATCACCCGGCCCCTCAGATTTAGTATTATTAAGCACACATGTGAGCATGCCTGTGTTCACAGAGGCCAGAAGACTTCATGCGGTTGTTTTTTGTTTTTGGTCTTATACACACACACACACACACACACATACACACACACACATACACACACACACATACACATACACATACACACACACACATACACACACACACATACACACACATACACACACATACACACATACACACACACATACACACACACATACACACATACACACACATACACACACATACACACACACACATACACACACATACACACACATACACACACATACACACACACACACATACACACACATACACACACACATACACACACACATACACACACACACATACACACACATACACACACATACACACACACATACACACACACACACACACACACTCTTTTGGCTATGGCTCTGTGTCTTTTGGGGGACCCGCCACCCAGCTTCCAAATAAATAATACGCATGAAGACTTATTCTTTTTCTTTTTTTTTTTTGGTTTTACAAGACAGGGTTTCTCTGTATTGTTTTGGAGGCTGTTAGTCCAGCCTGGCCTCGAACTCACAGAGATCCGCCTGCCTCTGCCTCCCGAGTGCTGGAATTAAAGGTATGTGCTACCACTGCCCGGCCCAGACTTATTCTTTATATGAATGCCTGGTCTTAGCTTGGCTTATTTCTAGCCAGCTTTTCTTAAACTATCCCATCTACCTTTTGCCTGTGGATTTTTAACTTCCCCTTTTTCTGTATCTCTTTCCTTCTTATTTCATCTCTGGGCTATGTGGCTGCAGGGCTGGCCCCTTCTTTTCTCGATCCTTGATCTCTCTTGCTTGCTCCTCCTCCTCGATCCTAGATTTCTCTCCCATTTATTCTCTCTGCCTACCAGCCCCGACTATCCTTTCTCTGTCCACTTATCAGCCATACAGATCTTTATTAGACCAATCAGGTGTTTTTGACAGCAGAGCATCACAGCTTCACAGAGCTAAACAAAGGTAGTCAAAAGAATGCAACAGATCTTTGCATCATTAAAACAAATGTTCCACAGCATGAACACATGTAACACATCTTAAAAATAATATTCTACAACAACTTCAGAACCCTTGGAGCTGGAGATAGAGGTGATTGTAAGTCACTCAACATGGGTGCTAGAAACTAAATTCTGGTCTTCTGTGAGAGCAATACATGCTCCTAACTGTTGAGTCATCTCTCCAGCCTCAGAAACTTGTTTAATAAAGGCATTGCATGAGATGATTCAGTGGGGAAAGGAACTGTCTGCCAAGCCTGACAACCTGTGTTCAAACCCTGGAACCCACATGGAGGAAGAGAGAATGGGCTCCTGCCACTTGTCCTCTGATTTCCACATGGGCACCGTGGCACACACCTGTCCCTTCCCCATATACAGATAAACAATTAAAAAGTTAAAGAGTCACATAGCGTGAGAGCCTTCAGAAATTGAGACCCAGGTATGGAGCGGTAGCTTGGTTAAGAATACACTAAGCACAAGTCATAGATCAATCCAGAGCGTGACTCTTCAGGCAGCATTCCTCCATGCTTTCTGCCTCAGGGTCCTGCCTGGAGTTCCCACTCTGACTTCTCTGAGTGCTGGACTGTTGGGCAACATTCCTTTACACTGTGGGAAGATGTGTCACTGTGATTGGTTGAATAAAAAGCTAAACGGCCAAAAGCTAGGCAGGAGTTATAGCAGGGACTTCTGAACAGAGAGAGCTCTGGGAATAAGAAAGGAGGAGACGCCAGCCAGATGCAGAGAGAAAGACGGTCAAGAGAGGTGAATGCCTTTAATCTCAGCACCTAAGGCAGAAGCAGGTGCAACTCTGCAAGTTTGAGGCCAGCCTAGTCTACACTGTGAGTTCCAGGGCAGTCAGGGCTACATGAAGAGAGCCTGTCTCAAAGAAAAAACAAACAAAAGAGAATGTGGGTCTAAATTAACTCATGGGTTAATCAAGGAAGGAATCAGCAATGATCTATGTAACTTCATAGATGGGGAGAGAGAGGAACAGAATGAGAAACTGAGAAAAGCTAAGTGGATGTCTGTTTCCTCGGTTATGTTCATGCTTGCTACATCATGATTTCTTGGTTGAAGAATATTAGAAATCCCCAATGCAAAAGCAGAAGAGGGGAAAGATGAACCTGGAGAGTTCAGACAGAAAAGAAGGGTGGATCCTGCACACATGTCCATGTGCACATATTCAAGCACATGATTTGTGTTAAAGCCAATTGGGACAATGTGACACAAACCTTTCCTTTCTTCATTTGCATTTGATGGTCAGAATGACATTTTGATTCGGCATACCATTGACAAGATGGTCTAAAAATTTGCTTTGTCTATTTGATGGGAAAGAGCAAGAGGCACCACTCAGTGGGACGTGCAGATTGAAACTCTTTCTCCGACAGTGGTGAGCAGGGGATCAGGTACTTCCCCCACAAGCTGACAAGACTGGAAGGATGCCTTTCCTGACTGCAGGTTCAAGAAGAACTCTGTACTGTGTGATTGCCAAAGGAGCCTTATCTAAATGGAAGGAGAGAAGTAAGTTTTGGCAAGGTAAGGGCAGACCCCAATCTTTCTGATCAGCCTGGAAGGCTTGGAATGGTAGAAAACCTTGATAACGTAAGAAAAAGGTATAACCTGGGGGAAAAAATTGGAGCTAAAGCTCTATAGAGTTGGGTAAGATATGAGATGGGTGTGTTGTGTTTCCTGGCAGTTTTCTGGCTTTACAGAAAGAAAGGGGGACAGGCTCTGAGCATCAGTGAGACTCCTGCCCACCAGGTTCTCATCCTCGAGCTGTCTACTCCCACAGGAAGCAGAGGGCACATTTGTTCCGTCCCTCTCCGTGAGTCACCTCAGAGGGTCCTGGAGGAGAGGGTGTGGCAGGTGGAGGCTAGCAGAGCTACTGAGGGCACCGAGAAGAGGCTGGTGACTGTGTGGACACAGCCCGCCTCCTGGGAGCTCGAGACTGTGGGAGCCACTAGGATGAAGGCAGAAGGACAAACTGACAAGGCTGGGTTAGGAGAGAAAGTCTTACAGGGGACTCCCCTGGAATGGGAATCAGGAACCTGGCTGCTGTTGGATGAGACCGAGGAGGTCAGCAGGAGCCTGGCTGTGAGAGACGTGAGAACAGCTGCTGTCAGGGAGTCAGGGAGGCCCAAAGGAGGCTTCAAGTCAGCTTGAGGCGAGCTGTTCCATCACCCAGCTTTCTCTTCACTAGAATGAGACAGCTGGCACCCCATGCCCCGCAAAGATGCACACCCTGTTTCTGAATGCTCAGAGCAGTGTTTGCTGGGAGACTGGGTGTTGGGAGAGGACAGAACTAGGGTGAGCCAACGTCCCACTCTGTTCATGTAAAAGATGCTTGACCGGGTACCTGTCAGACGCCCTCGTGATTTCCTAACCTTACATCGGTGACAAAGTCACCAGAGCAGCACCTGACAGAGTTACCCTCCCCAACGGCCAGCCGGGTAAGTTAGAAGTAGGGTAAAGTTCATGGCAAGCTCTCAACTGGGTAACTTGTGCTCAAGGCTCCGGGATGCGAGCCAACAGCAGGCTCAGCAGGACAATGTGTTTGTGCCCAGGCTGGCTGAGTGGAAATCAGACCTTCCATGTAGCTAACTCTCTGGATGGCAGTGTGCTCCTTTAAGGACAAAGGACGAGGCTTATGTAAGGAGAGAGACACAGGCTCTCAATGACTTCAGCAGGGCAGTGCTAACTTTCCATGTTCCACGCCTTAGCTATTGTCTTAGGGTTTCTATGGCTGGGAAGAGACAACCCGACCATGGCAACTCTTTTTTTTTCTCTTCTGAGACAGGGTTTCTCTGTAGATTTGGAAGCTGTCCTGGAACTCTCTTTGTAGACCAGGCTGGTCTTGAACCCACAGAGATTCACCTAGCTATCCACTCTCCCAAGTGCTGGGACTAAAGGTGTGCGCTACCACCGCCTAGCTTGTAACAGGCTTTCTTTTGGGTGACCAACCAACTCCCAAATCATGACATGGAGACTTATTATTAGTTATGAATGCTCGGCCTTATCTTAGCTCTTATTTTAATCTGTTTCTCTTTATCTATGTTTTGCATTGGGCCTTTTTACCTTTCTCTCTTTCTGTATGTCCTTCTTTCCTGCTTCTGGCGTCTGTCTGTCCATCTGGTGACTTCTGGCCTCAGGCGTGTTCTTCTTGTTTCTCTCTCATTCCCTTCTCTCCTCTCTTGAGTCTAGATTTCTCCTCCTACTTATACTTCTGCCTGCCGGCGCTGTCTCTCCCTTTCTTGCCTAGCTATTGGCCATTCAGCTCTTTATTAGACCAATTAGGTGCCTTACACAGGCAAGGTGAAACAATTGCAACACATCTTTACATAATTAAACAAACGCAGCATAAACAAACGTAACACACCTTTACAAGGTAAAGTAATATTCTGTAGCATAAACAAATGTAACACATGTTTACATAATTAAGATAATAGTCTGTAACAACACTCAGGCATAAAGTAAAATAAATAAATCTAATAAAAATATAATTTGAAGAAAGGAAGGATTGGCCAGCCTGGTCTACAGAGTGAGTTCTAGGACAGCCTCCAAAACAATACAGAGAAACCATGACTCGAAAAACCAAAAAGAGAAAAAAGAAAAATAAAAATGAAAAAAGAAAGGAAGGGTTTATTTTTGCTCACAGCCTTTTCAGTCCATACCTGGCTGGCCCCAATTCTTTGGGCCTGACCATCATGGCATCAGAAGGCAGGGAGACAGGAAGAAGACAGCAACAAGATGTACTCTTCAAATACATGGTTCCACTTCCTTCAACGAAGCTCCACCCAAGAGTTCATCAGTGGGTTCACTTACTGAAGTTAGATCCCTCATGACTCACTCACCCACTCCCAATAACACTGTCAGCACAAGTTGCCATTTTGGGAAACACTTTAAGAGAAAGTAAGTCTAAACTATGGTGGGACCTCAAGAGTCGCTCTGACCAGTAGATAGATATTTAGAATGTAAAATAAAATAGAATTAAAACTCATCAGTTAAATTATATTATCAGCCAAATGGATTTAGCAGGTGTACAGAATACTTCATTCTGCACTGACCCAGGACCTGAGCTATGTAACCAGATCTCTTTTTACATGTTGTTTTGCCACCAAATCTCACCCATGCTTAAATTCACCCTTTAATACAGCCTGGTCTACAAATCAAGTTCCAGAACAGCCAGGGCTGTTACACAGAGAATCCCTGTCTCAAGGAAAAAAATAAGAGAGAAGTTCAAGGTCATCCTTGGTTACATAGAAAGTCTGAGGAAAGTCTGGGCTACCTGAGACTCTGCCTCCCCCCAAAACCAAGGAAACACACACTCATAAACAAAGGTAACCAAGGACAAACTAAACTCAAAATTAGCAAAAGGGAAGAAATAATAAAATCAGAGCAGAAATAAAGAAGACTAAAAAATCAGTCAGAGAAAGAATTGGTGAAACAAAAAGTTGGCGAACCTAGAGCTTAAGCAACCAAGGGAGGGAGATGACCCTGATACACAAAGTTAGGGGTGAAAACAGTGCCTTGTAACCAGCACCACAGAAATGAAAAGGATCATCGGGGAGTGGTTTTAAAAACTACACGTCAACAAGTAAGAAAGCCTAGAAGAAACAGGCAAATTTCTGGAGGGCACATATGACCTAAATTAAACCAAGAGGTTATAAAATTTAGTAGTCACCAAGTAATGAGATTAAATCAGTCTTCCACTGAAGAAAAGTTGGGTAGTATGGATTCCCAGCAGTGTGGCTTCATAATGAATTGTACCAACATCTTAAGGAAGAATGCGTGTTCATCCTGATTCTTCACACAGAGCAGCATTTTGCTGTCATCAAAATCTGAAAAGATATAAATGAAAGGCAAAAGGAAAGAAGGAAGGAAGGGAGGGAGGGAAGGAGGGAGGGAAGAAGGGAGGAAGGAAGAAAAAAACTATAAACCAGGGCATTGATCGAGTCTTTGACCTTTCTCTAGTTGTGACCCACTTCTCCCCTCAGAAGGTTCCCTTCAATAAACTATCTAATTAGCAGGACTAAGAGGAGGAGGAGCAGAGGGGAAGGCTTGATTTCATTCCAGGGATGTAAGAATGGTCAAATACATGAAAATTATTGGGTATAAGGCAACAGAAAAATAATCAAGGGTAAAAATTGCACAATCATTTTTCTAGATACAGACAAACATCATTCCTTGGTTAGGAAATATGATTTTGTGTTGAGAAAACCCTAAGAACCTACAGTAAGACTCTCAAAACCATAAACAAATTCACCGGAATAGCAAGGTATGAAAACAAAGCGCAAAAATGAGCAATGTTTCGTTTTTGGTACAAGGTCTCAGCCAGGTAGTCCAGGCTAGCCCCAAACTGTTAATCTTCCTGCCTCCTCTCCTCTGCATTGTGATTACAGCTGTGAACAGCTGTGCTCCATCCTGCCCGCCAGTCAGTATCTTTTTTATACATCAGCAATGAGCTTACTGGGAGAAAAATTTGGAAGCTATCCCATTCATGAAACTCTGAGAATAATCCAGGAGTAAAGCTAACTAAGAAAGAGGAGAACAAACTTCTACAATAAACATTACAAAATCCACTGAAGATAAAGGTTAAGGACACAGGAAGATAGAAAAACCTGTATGTTCATGGGTTGTGAGAGTAACTATTGTTACAATAGCTAGCCCAGAAAGAAAACTACAGATTCAGTGCCATCTGCATCGAAATGACAATGACACTATTCATACAACTAGAGAAAAAAATCATAACATTCCTACAGAAGCACAAAAGGTCCCAAATAGCCAAAATAATCATGAAGAAAAAGAAATCTTGGCAACAGCACAATATAGAATAAGACATATTGTGGAGGGGCTGAAGAGACCAAGAGCACCAGAGGACCTGGGTTCGAGTTCAAGCATGGGCAAGGCAGCTCGTAATCATCTGTAACTCCAGCTGTGAAGGATCCAATGCCTTTTTCTGGTCTCCTTGGGCACCAGGCAAGCACGAGGTGCACAGACATACATGCAGGCAAACCTGTCAGACACATGAAGAATCAGTCAAACAAACACAAACCACTCCAACACATAAAATAGACATACTAGGGGCAGGAACATACTGTCGTAGTAGCAAAGCACATTGTTCTAGCATAAAAGCAGACACACTGGCTGATGAAACAGGACCTAATGCAGTTCTTGTCCAAAAGTAGGTTCCTACAATTTGAATTTAATATCTTCTATTGCTCCTACTAGCATGCTGTTTCTGGTCTCCACGTGGTTTTCTCCAGAGGTTTGCCTCACTTGGCAGTCAGTATTTGACCTTACAGTTGAGCCTCAAGAAATTTCCACTCACTGCCAGGTATGATGGTACATCTCTGTAATCCCAGCGCATGGGAGATGGAGGCTGGAGGATCAGGAGTCCAAGGTTATGCAAGGAGTCTGCTTGCATAACTAGCAGCCTCAGTTAAACGAGACAGAGATAAAGCGAGAGAGAGTTGATTTCAGGTCTCCTCACACTTATCATAATTTGTCCAAGAGATATATAAACAAGTATCTTTCTTCCAGTTCAGTGTGGGGTTGGGGCTGACCCAGGTGCCACAATTTCTACAGTTCAACTTTTTCATAACGAACCAATAACTGAAAGCCAGTGTCACTGAATCATGGACAAATTCGGGGGGCTTTGGAGGAAAATCTGTCAGGGAGTGTCCTTAATTTGAGATAGCCAGAGAAATTCAGCAGTAGGTCAGGCAAAGGATGTTATCTTTGTAGTGAAATCCTGACTCTGAAGGGCACAGAAAACACTGCTTCAGTTTAACTCTGGAGACAGCATGTCATATATTTGGGTAGTAAGTGCAGCAACCTCCAGTCAGTGAGCTACACTAGAATATCTATGGTTTTACTGTCCTCTGGTGGGCACAGAGACCCTTCAGTGCCAAACTTCCTTACAGATATGGTACTCTCACCCAACGCTGGGCCTCCGAAGCAGTTACCCTTTCCTGCGTTTAGGAGCTGAGCATCCCCGTGAAGCTACTTCCTGTCGTCAGTCCCAGGCCACGGCCTCATGTCCCTTTTCCCTCATCATTAGAAAATCATCTGTAAGTCTCTTCATGCCCTCTGGGGCATCATGGGAGGGGAACAAAATCTGCTTCTCTCTGGGTGGTGGTGGCTCACGCCTTTGATCCCAGCACTTGGCAGGCAGAGGCAGGTGGATCTCTGTGAATCTGTGGCCAGCCTGGTTTACAGATCGAGTTCCAGGACAGGCTACAAAGCTACACAGAGAAACCCTGTCTCAAATAATAAAATAATAACAACAACCCACTTCTCTCCATTCTGCTGGCATGTTTCAATTTTTATGTTTGGGTTGAGGAGCCAGGCAAGGCTGTTTTTATTTGGGGGGGTGTTTTGTTTTTTTTCAAGCTGAGCATTCCCACAATGCTCATATAGAAAGAGGTATTCCAAATACCCAGCAGCAGTTGCTTTATTAGCAGGAATGGGGAGAAAGGTCATGAAAACCAGGACCTGGGGTGCAATGCAGTAACTTCAGTTTACAACTATTTATTGAGCTCATGTTTGTCAGATACCTTCCACCTGCTTATCCTTGCTTCTCCACGAGGCTCAGTATTCAGGTTTGGCCAGCTGACCTGCAGAACCGGATTCAGCCAAGCAGAGGCACTGGCGAGATACCAATAAATGGAGAGTGAAATCAAATTATTCCACCTATCCATACCTGGGTACCATCCAAGGTCACTTGCCTCTGGTTCAGAAGACTGCAGTTACCATCAGGCAGCGGCTTCCCTTTAGGTTGGGGATCACAACACTTCACCAAACGCTGTTGTATTTTTTTGTTCCCAACCTTCCCATGCCTCTATAAAAAAAATTGTAGTCCCTTTGTGAAATTTCTCCTGCTGCCAAGTTTGCATGGATTACTTGCTTCTGGTTAGAACTCAGACTCAAAGAATCCCAGTGGTAGAAACCCAAATTGACAGGGGCAGCAGTTAGATTTGGGACGGGGGGGGGGGGGGGACGCGGGGGGGGGAACGACACAATGCTCCTTTCCCAAGTGAAGCCCAGGTTAATAGCAGTGCATCTTCTTATTTAATAGTCCCAGCAGACCTTTCAGATAAGGGAAATGCATCCAGAAAACTGTGTACTTTTCTAAAGGTCCTCAACATACAAGAACAGTCAGATTCCATAAACACTGAGCTGCTCTGGATAGATATACAGAGACCAAGAAATTTCCGGGGAAATGCTTGATCAGAGACTGAGGGTTAAGAGGGGATCCGGTCATGCATGTTTCTTGGGAACATCCTGAATTTCAGTGTGGAACTGCAGCTTCTATTCTTTTCAGCACCGACTGTCACTGCTTTGACTTAGCCATATTTCGTGGATTTCCGGGCGAGTCTTTGTTCTTAGAAACTTTCTCCTTTTGATTTTGCATAAGAAGTTGTCACAAAATCGTAGGATGTGTCCGAGGCCAACCAATGGGAGTGGAGCGAGTCGTCCCGCCTGTGACTACAACTCTAGGAGTCCTGGTCCATCTGCCCCATCTAGTGCAGCCCTGACATGACGGTGACACTGAGCCTGGAGCCCGCGGGCCGCAGCTGCTGGGACGAGCCGCTGAGCATCGCCGTGCACGGCCTGGCCCCCGAGCAGCCCGTCACGCTGCGCGCCGCCCTGCGAGACGAGAAAGGCGCGCTCTTCCGCGCCCACGCGCGCTACCGCGCCGACGCCCGCGGCGACCTGGACCTGGCGCGCGCGCCCGCGCTGGGCGGCAGCTTCTCCGGGATCGAGCCCATGGGGCTGCTCTGGGCCATGGAGCCCGAACGGCCCTTCTGGCGCCTGATCAAGCGCGACGTGCAGACGCCCTTCGTGGTGGAGCTGGAGGTGCTGGACGGCCACGAGCCCGAAGGCGGGCGGCTGCTGGCGCGGGCGGTGCACGAGCGTCACTTCATGGCTCCCGGGGTGCGGCGCGTGCCCGTGCGCGAGGGCCGTGTGCGCGCCACGCTCTTCCTGCCTCCAGGTGAGCTGCCCTCCACCTTCCCTTTGCTCAAAGTTCCTCTGTGGTTTTAAATGAAGAAAAAGGACTTAGGACTCAGAGGAAAGGAGACTGGACCGGACTGGAAAGGGTTTGTTATGAAGATGTTGTTTCGCGGAAGCTGGTTCTTCAATTCTACAGCTAAGTTATAAGATCTTTTAAGGAAAGGAACAAGCTACTTGTAATATAAAATTAAAACTAGTGGTAATAAATCGGGTGGTGGTGGTCCACGCCTTTAATCCCAACACTTGGGAAGCAGAGACAGACCAATCTTTAAGTTCGAGGCCAGTATGGTCTACAGAATGCGTTCCAGGACAGACAGGGATACACAGAGAAACCCTGTCGGAAACCATAGCTGTTTGAACATATTGTTTTAAATGTTAAATCTGTTTTGAGCTGTGCATCATAGTCCAGCAGGTTGGGACACTAAATCAAAAGACTGTCTTGAGCTTTGGAGTTCAGGCCAGTCTGGTCAACATAACAAAACCCCTTTTCAAAACAAGGGACATTTCTCTATCTTTTCTTTTCTGTTTTAAATATAATTTTATTTAACTTTATTTTATGTGCATTGGTGTGAAGGTGTCAGATACCCTGGAACTGGAGTTACAGACAGTTGTGAGCTGCCACATGGGTACTGGGAATTAAATCCCGTCCTCTGGAAGAGCAGCAACGCTCTTAACCACTGAGCCATCTCTCCAGCCCCCTTTTTCTTTTCTTTTCTTTTTTTTCGATACAGGGCTTCTCTGTGTTGCTCTGGCTGTCCTGGAACTCACTCTGGAGACCAGGCTGACCTTAGACTCAGAGACTGGCCTGCCTCTGCCTCCTGAGCACTGGGATTAAAGGCGTGTCCACCACCGCCGGGCCAAGGGATGCCTTTTGATTCTGCGTTTTTCTTTCCATTTCCACGCAATTAAAGTAGAGGGAGGCCTTTTTCTGTCTGCTGGCAATCTGAGAGCCTTGCATAGTCTTACATAAAAGGATGCCTACTTAGCCTCTCAAGTAACCAACGAAATGCAAAATAAAAAAAACTACGGGATATATTGCATAGCTTAAGAGTAACAAAACTTTCAAAGCCTAACATGTCCAATTAATGTTAAATGCTTGGCGGAAAGGCCAATCAGTACATAGCTAGAGAGAGTTAAGTTATTCCGGGAAGCATTAAGTTCATTAAGTTATCCCGGGAAGCAACTAGTTTTTAACTTGGTAGATTAATATGTAACTCTACCATTTTGTGACACATGTGCACTGGAAAGCTTATTGCTTGGAAATAGTCAAAATGCACCCCTCCCAATAATGGAGTCAATGAATAAATGGAGGCATAGTAATTAATCCACAACTGCCAGCATTTTGTGCTCAACTCAAACTGGAATCACACATAGGGAAGCTCTCCAATGGCTGGTCCTTCCCCCTCGTGTTCAGGAGCCACAGTAGCGGGAGGCAGGAGCAGCAACTTGTGGCATCCTCCAGTGTCAGTCCTGCAGGCCTTGGGTATCGGGTCCCTTTGCTTCTGGCCAAGGCCAGCGTTACATCCTCAGGCACCCTGAACCTCTGTAGATGACAGCTGTCTGGAATCTTCTGGTGACCAGCATCTCCTCCCCACAACTTTTGTTCTTTAGTCTTGGCTCCCTGCTCTCTCTCGTTATCTCTGGTCACACCTTTCTTCTTCTCCCCCAGCTACTCTTAAAGCGTGTGGTTGCTTCTTCAGCCAGATGCCTGAACCCTTTCCCAGCCCAGTGACTGCTGCCACGACAACCCAGGAAGCCTGCCCCTTGCCAGGATTACACTCGGAGGATAACTCCAGGCTCACACACTTGCCAGCTGCTTGGCAGTTGTGGTATGCATTCAGGAACTGGATGCCAGGTGCTGGGCACACGCCACCACACAGGGTGGCTGAGGGGTGACAGCGGCAGCCTACTTCAGTGGCTTCATAACTTTCTCTGCTGGGCTTACTTTCAATGAGGGCTAAGCTGGTAACGTAAAGGCAATGGGGTGTAGTGAGGGTTAGCCCACATTGAGAGTAAGCAAAAAAGATCACTCGGGAGAAGCCTCTGCCTAGTGTTGCTAGCCACACCAGGGGAGGCAGCATTAAAAACAGTATCTCTCAGACGACTTGCTGAAGAGCCTGTCTACATAGTTAAAGAGTGATCATCTGACCTATTCAGCCTAGCCTCTGAGCACCAGTCACAATTCCTGAGATTTGTGTGTTAGACCAAACACAGATTTGCCTTCAGGTACAACTATCAGACTAACAGGGGAAACGCCCCCCTCCACACATACACCAAGTTGGAAAGGGTTGTTAAAAACGAGCCTGGTACAAGTTGTTTGGCCACAGCTACACCTAGTGGCATTTTTTAAAACTCTTTGCTCTTGGGGGGGTCACCACCCAACTCCCAAATAAATACACCGAGTCTTATTCTTACTAATGAATGCGGGACCTTAGCTTGGCTTGTTTTTAGCCAGATTTCCTTAATTTAAATTATCCAGTCTAACTCTTGCCTCTGGGCTTTTACCTGTCTATATACCTTTCTTCTTACTCTGTGGCTTGTTGTGTAGCTGGCCCCTGGAGTCCTCCTCTCCTCCTTTTCTAGATCTTTTCTCTTCTTCTTCTTTTAATTCTCTTTGACTGCCAGCCTCACCTATCCTTTCTCTTCTGGCCTGCACACAGAACACGGTATATATAATAAATGTTAAAAAAGAATGCAACAAATCTATGCATCGTTAAACAAATGTTCCACAGTATAAACAAATGTAACACATCTTCAACTACTATTCTACAATAGTAACACCCAGTCATGGTCTTTGTGTCTCATGGAGTGTTTAAGATGGCTGGTGCTGGTACAAGGTGGCCAAGGCTGCAAACAGTCCAATAGCTGTTGATTAGGGAATCTGATTGCCCTACCAAAAGAGTCTTTGATCTTATAGGAAAAACTTATAGGAAAACGGACAGCAGGATAAGAACATCAAGTTTATAGACTTCAATATAAACTTGAGGAGCTTGTTAATACTAACACTGGTTTTTAACAAACTTAAACAGTGCTCATCACTTGCCCATGCCCAAGGCACAGGTGAAGCCAACCCCCCCCATCAGTCTCAATTCTGCTAAGACCACATTCATGGGGTAGGCAAACTAAAATATTTATTTGTTTAGTGTACATGTGGGGTACACATGTGGGAGCCCAAAGTGTAGTTTGAGTTCTCACCTAGTATGTGGGTCCTGGGGGTTGAACTCAGGCAGTCAGTTTGACAGCAAGTGCCTTGTTCGATAAAAACAAAATATGTAAGGCACACATATAAGAGGTGGTGATACCAAGGGGCATCAGTACTTCAAACCCTCTGTGGTGCAGAAGAAAGAACAGGCAAAAGCAGGGCTTTCTGGTGTCTGTCAGGTGTTTGCTGAGAGTCTTATCAGGGCTCTCTACAGGAATCGGATTGACAGAAAGGGATTCCTTAGGTCAGCTATGGGCTCTGTCCTCCAACATCAGCTGTTTACACGGGAGAGGTAGAATGTAGTTGTTGAAAGTCACACCGACCGGATGCCTCGGCCATCCCAATCTGATGAGGAAAGCCTCGAGGATTCCTGGAGAGCCACGTTGGAAGGCCAGAGAATCTGGGTTTCCAGTGTCAGACAAAGTGGCAATAGGAGAGATGTGCTTATCAGCAGACAGAGCAAACACACCAGGACTCCTTTTGCCTCAGATGCTCCGTATCTGGACTGCCAGCAGCAGGTGCTGCCCAGCTAAGGGAAGGGTCTTTTCTCCTCATTTAGTCCTTTCTGGAAATGCCCAGGGGTGTGCCTTATTGATCCCAAAAACCAATGGATTTGAAATCATGATTAACCATAACACTGAGTTATTTAAATTTGACATGTGGAAGACAAACCCCCTTATATAAACACTGAAAATATTTAGGACACAAAACCATGCAAATGAACATGCAGCCCTTTGAGTCTATGCCCATTCACTCAGCAGAATGCATTTGAAATTCACGTGACCTTCTACTCGTCAGGCCTTTCTGTTTCCTCATAATGCTCCCTTCTATGATGTGTCCATTCACTAGCTGAAGGCTTCTGGGTTTGTTTACAGTTTGGAGACAATGAATAAAGCCGCTACACACACTTGAATCCTGCACTGAACTGTGTTCTTGTGTGAACACAGTTTTTCATTTCATTTCTCATTCATTTCATTCACAGAGAGCAAGGACTGGGCTCCACGGTTACGTATGGATAAGTCTGTGAACCAGCGCCCGATGCTTCTGCAGACTGCCCTGTGTGCTTTGCGTCACACGGTATCATGTGATAGCTCTGGTTGCTGCACAGCCTCACCAGCAATTGGCATTGTCCAGTTTGGGGGACAGAAGAGGACAATATTTTTATTGTTGTCATTGTAAAGGTTGTGTGTGTGTGTATGTGTGAGTGTGTATGTGTGAGTGTGTGTGTGTGAGTGTGTGTGTATGTGTGAGTGTGTGTGTATGTGTGAGTGTGTGTGTGTATGTGTGTGTATGTGTGAGTGTGTGTGTATGTGTGAGTATGTGTGTATGTGTGAGTGTGTGTGTGTGTGTGTGTGTGTGTGTTCTGAGCCATGCATGCTAGCGTGCATTCCTACCCCAGTCTTCTAAATGTCCCCTTAATGTCTTTGTAAACCATTGTGGAGCTTTGAGGCTTTAGGTGTGAAAGGGGATGTAGCCCAGGCTACTCTAGATGCTTGAAGGTAGGAGGACCGCCAGTATTTTTACTGTCTGTTGAAAACCTTGTCATCCTCACATGTCTATTAATGCCACTGCAAACACTTTTTTTTTTCAAGACAGGGTTTCTCTGTATTGTTTTGGAGGCTGTTCTGGAACTTGCTCTGTAGACCAGGCTGGTCTGAAACTCACAGAGATCTGTCTGCCTCTGCCTCCCAAGTGCTGGGATTAAAGGCGTGCGCCACCAATATCCAGCTGCAAACACTTCTTAGTAATGTTTAGTTCTGTTTCTTCCCCAGAACCTGGGCCCTTTCCGGGGATCGTGGACCTTTTCGGAGTTGGCGGTGGCCTTCTGGAGTACCGAGCTAGTCTGCTGGCTGGGAAAGGCTTTGCTGTCATGGCTCTGGCTTATTATAACTACGACGACCTCCCCAAGGGCATGGAGACCATGCGCATAGAGTACTTTGAAGAAGCCGTGAACTACCTGCTCAGCCACCCTGAGGTTAGATCTCCCTCATTTCATTGGCTCCTGTCATGTCTCCTCATCAGGTGCTTGGTTCACAAGTGAGGAATGATGACAGCCTCTCTGTCTACTTCACAAAGAGCTCAAGGCCATTGGAGATCTCTAGGTTTGATACAAGGAAAGGGAAAGAAACAGGTAGGGCCACCTCCAGCCAGTGCTCCTTAAATGATGTGCTCAGCAGCCCTCTCCTGCCTATGTCCCTGTGCCCCCGGTGTCCCTAGTGGAGGCATAGGGTGAACTTGACAGGCAACAGCAGGAGACCAGGGCTCTGAGCTTTGCAGATCCAGCCCAGCACAGGCTGAGGTGGGAATCCTGCTTGTTTTATAATTTTATAACCAGAACTTAAGTGACCGGCAGCGTTGGCGCGCTCAGAGAAGCGGAGCTGCGTCTGGAGAAGTTTGAGAATAGATCTTGTCCATTTCCAGCCCCACGACTTTGTCACTTCTGCTCTGTCTACTCCTTTGATAACCAGATATCCTAAATTCATCTTTGTTGCTGTAGCTGAAAATAAAAATATCCCAACAAAAGCAATTCATGGAGAAAGGGCTTATTTTAACTCACAGTTACAGCTCACAGTCCATCAAAGTAGAGAAGTCACTGGGGCAGATGCTGGTCATATCATATTCACAATGGGGACTGCAGAGCCAAGAATGTGCACATGCTAACACTAAGCTCCCTTTTCCCAGCTTTATACAGCTTAGCTTAGGAAATAATGCCACCTACATTCATAGTGGGCATTCCTACTTCAATAGTGACATTAAAAAATTCTCTTAAGGAGCTGGAGAGATGCCCAGTGGTTAAGAGCACTGGCTGCTCTTTCAGAAGACCTAAGTTAAATTCCCAGCACCTACATGGTGGCTCACAACCATCTGTATTGAGATCTGGTGCCCTCTTCTGGCCTGCAGAGCACTCATATATAAAATATAAATAAAAAAAAGAAATTCCCTTAAAGGAGTGTCTATAGGTCAACCCAGCCTAGGTTCCTCATTTTAACCCCTTCCCAGGTAAGTCTAGACTGTGTCAAGGTGACAATTTAAAATTTCCTAGTAGGGTAATTAAAACATCATTGATCATGTAATTATTAGAACTTTAATGAAGAGTTACATTTAAAAGTGGTCAAGGCTACTGTTGCCAAAGGAGTATGAGAGAGGAGAAAGAGATTGATTGATTGATTGATTGATTTGATTGATTGATTTCTATAGGAGGTCAGCCAAAGAGCCATTTGCTTATAGGCAGAGGACGCTGGGATTCAGGGCAGGGGCAGTCCTTGTGCAACAGCGCCAACCCAAACCACCCAGAAGGCACCGCGTAGGGATGGAAGAAAGGGAGCACAACAGACATCTTCCCACAGGTTTTCAGGGAACCAGGGTGCAGAACAAAGTCATAGCTAGTGTGGCCCGGGACGCAGGGCTGTGAGGAGATAGAAGAGGCTCAGAGCAGGGAGGACCTGGGGACCAGCAGAGAGAAGTCGAAAGAGGGGAAGCCGGAAGTAAGCATGGGAGGCCAACCCTGGAGCAAGATCGTGGACAGCATCCCAAAGGCAACTAGAGGTGGCCGCTGAGATTTTGTGGGACATCTGAGAGTTTGAGCTGCCATGGGAATAGGTAGATTGGGGAGTGAGAAAATGAGACATCCTCCTGACAGCTTCTGTCTCCTCAGTGCAGTATGAAAAGCTGAAGGTGGGGTGGGGTGGGGGTGGGGGCTCGAGAGGCTGAGGAGGTCGGGGAGGATGTGAGGGGGCCGTTTGGAGAAGTGGGAAGATGTGTGCAGGACTGATGGGCCACGTCAGTGCTGGTGTCAAATGCAAGTTCAGCCAGCAGGAATGTTTGTTTTCTTTAGATTCCTGAGGTCCATTTCTCAATAGTCCCCTGGCCAAAGGGAGGAGTACAAATGTCTTTTTAGAGTAGCTCCATTCCTGCTAGGATGGTTTCAAAACTGGGTCCATATGTTGACCCTGGTCCATGTAGCTTTCCAGCTGGGCCAACTCACTGTTCGATGCTATTCCTGGACTAATTCTTATTCTTTCTTTCTTCCTTTCTATTTTTATCAGGTAAAAGGTCCAGGAATTGGGCTGCTTGGCATTTCCAAAGGAGGTGAACTTGGCCTTGCTATGGCCTCCTTCCTGAAGGGCATCAAAGCTGCTGTTGTCATCAATGGCTCTGTGGCTGCTGTTGGGAGCACCATGCACTACAAGGATGAGACTATACCCCCTGTGACTATCCTGAGAAATAGAGTCAGAATGACCAAAGATGGCCTCTTGGATGTTGTGGATGCTCTGCAAAGCCCTTTGGTAGAAGAGAAGAGCTTCATCCCCGTGGAGAGGTCTGACACGACCTTCCTGTTGCTTGTAGGTCAGGATGACCACAACTGGAAGAGCGAGTTCTATGCCAATGAGATCTCCAAACGCTTACAGGCCCATGGGAAGGAGAAGCCCCAGATCATCTGCTACCCAGAAGCGGGGCACTACATTGAGCCCCCTTACTTCCCACTGTGCAAGGCTGGCATGCACCTCCTGGTGGGTGCTAATATCACCTTTGGAGGGGAGCCTAAGCCTCATGCCATGGCCCAGGTGGATGCATGGCAGCAACTCCAGACTTTCTTCCACAAACACTTGGGTAGTGAGAGTTAGGGGACAACTCCTAAAATATTACCCATTATCTGATGGTTTGGAGGAAAAGGTTCAAATACATTGTAAGCACATCAGTAAGGATTACTTCAGCTGAACACAGTGCTACACATGGTGTTTATTCAAGGGCTGGAAATGTATTTCAGTGGTACCATACCCAATTGGCTTGTGTAAATCTCTGGCTTCAGAAAACAGGCAAATGTTATATGAAACCTTAACCTATTCAAGAAATATTGCCCAGGGGCTGGAGAGATGGCTCAGAGGTTAAGAGCACTGGCTGCTCTTCCAGAGGTCCTGAGTTCAATTCCCAGCAACCACATGGTGGCTTACAACCATCTGTAATGAGATCTGGCGCCCTCTTCTGGCCTACAGACATACATGCAGACAGAATGCTGTATACATAATAAATAAATAAATAAATCTTAAAAAAAAAGAAATATTGCCCAGAATAAAAAGGATTCCATGAGTAGCCACACTATTGTGTCATTAAAAATTATGTCCTACAGTTCTTTGGCCAGTGTTGCTATTATTATCTTCCTTTCAAAAAGTGGCTTTGGGGTGACTTAAAGGCCTTTTCAGATGCTTGACACATTATAGTCAGCAGTGAAAAGAAGGTTTTGTTTGTACACATATCCAGCAAGAACAGCTGTTGTTTTTAACAAAATCTCAATTGTCTGATTTTTTACCTGTAAAGACTTGGGAGCCACATGCTGGGGTGAAAGCTTGCTAGCTCAGAGAGGCAGAGGAAGCACCAGCTAACCTTCCTACTCTGTCCTCATCCCAGAAAGAGGCCTTTTCCCATACAGACTCAAACAAAGCTCCTCTAACCATGTGTCCGACTTTTGTTTCATGCGCGTCTCTCTCTGACCTCCTGTCCCCCTCTTACCCTGATGCTCTCCTGTCAACTGATTGCTTGCTCTGCCTCTTGACATGTAGTTGTTTTTGTAGCATGAAAAGTAAACGACCCAGAGACTGATATTGGGGTTCAAGCTTACCTCTAGGTCAGGCTGAAAGGGCTGATCCATTACTCTTCACCAAGCCCCAGACTGCTGCCTCTCCTCAGTGTGGCTGGAGAGAATCCAGAGACTATCTCTGATATGTCTGAGACACTGGGCTCCTGTCTTTTTTTTTTTGAGACAGGGTTTCTATGTATGGTTTTGGAGGCAGTCCTGGAACTTTCTCTGTAGACCAGGCTGGCCTCAAACTCACAGAGATCCGCCTGCCTCTGCCTCCTGAGTGCTGGGATTAAAGGCGTGCGCCACCACACTCGGCTGGCTCCTGTCGTTTCTATACCTCTCTAGGGCTGAGGTTAAAGGCTTGCAATCCCAGGTACTGAAATCATCTTTGTGTGAGATGTTTCTCTTTAGGACTGTGTCAGTTTCGACAGAGATCTGGCTACCTCTACCTCCCGAGTGTCGTGATTAAAGGTGTGTGGGCCACTACTACTTGATCTCTGTAACTTGCAGCTGACTTTGATTTCTGAATATTCAGGCAAGTTTTAATAAATCATAAATAATATATCAGTGCAGATTTTATTTAATCCTGTTTACAATATTCAAGCAAACATCTCTTGAATTAAAGGCATGTGCTCAGGCTGAGCCACACCACAGCTAGAAGCAGGGTTTTCCAGTAAATAGTGCAATCTTGGGGTTCACAGTATGATCAAATATCCTGCAGCAAACATCGATTTTACCAAGTAAACCAACAATGGGAGAAGAGTCCCCTGCATTTGATGAGCTCTAGGCCACGACAACACGGGGGCAGGATGAACATCTAGTCCAGGAAGCAACAGAGCATCTGGGGGAGGAAACAGAGTCCTTTAATCCCAGCACTCAGCAGGCAGAGGCAGGTGGATCTCTGTTGAGTTCAAGGCTAGCCTGGTCTACAGAGTGAGTTCTAGGACAGCCAAGGCTGTTACACAGAGAAACCCTGTCTTGTGGGAAAAAATTGCTCTCTGTCAGTAGTCAACCTGAGATCAGATCTTTTCTCCACAAACTGACAAGACTGGAAAGGTACCATTAGCTTTGTGTTTCCTGGCTGCCATCTCAAGGGGAATGCCTTCCTGGCTTCATGCCAATGGGACCTCATCTAAAGGTAAGGCTAGAAGAAGGAAGCTTTCTCCAGACAAATGCACAGATCCAAATGGTTATAGATGAGCCTCAAAGGAGTGGAGTCTAGAATCGCCAAAAACCATAGTGATGTGAGACAAAGATCTCTCTGGGGGAGATTTAAAAATTTAAAAATTTGTGTGGGAAGATGAAGAAGCAGCCACACCTGGCTTTTTGTCTGGGCTATCCTAAAAGAGTCCAGGGCAGGTGGGCAGCATTCAGTAAGTGACTCCCACACCACATTCTAGTTCTGTACTCGTGGAGGAAGCGGAGGGCACATTTGTTCCGTCCCTCTCCGTGAGTCACCTCAGAGGGTCCTGGAGGAGAGGGTGTAGCAGGTGGAGACTAGCAGAGCTACTGAGGGCACCGAGAAGAGGCCGGTGACTGTGTGGATGTCCACTGCTGCACACAGCCCGCCTCCTGGGAGCTCGAGACTGCGTGAGCCACTAGGATGAAGGCAGAAGGACAAACTGACAAGGCTGGGTTAGGAGAGAAAGTCTTACAGGGGACTCCCCTGGAATGGGAATCAGGAACCTGGCTGCTGTTGGATGAGACCGAGGAGGTCAGCAGGAGCCTGGCTGTGAGAGACGTGAGAACAGCTGCTGTCAGGGAGTCAGGGAGGCCCAAAGGAGGCTTCAAGTCAGCTTGAGGCGAGCTGTTCCATCACCCAGCTTTCTCTTCACTAGAATGAGACAGCTGGCACCCCATGCCCCGCAAAGATGCACACCCTGTTTCTGAGTGCTCAGAGCAGTGTTTGCTGGGAGACTGGGTGTTGGGAGAGGACAGAACTAGGGTGAGCTGTTCATGTAACACTCTGTTCATGTAACAGATGCTTGACCGGGTACCTGTCAGACGCCCTCGTGATTTCCTAACCTTACATCGGTGACAAAGTCACCAGAGCAGCACCTGACAGAGTTACCCTCCCCAACGGCCAGCCGGGTGAGTTAGAAGTAGGGTAAAGTTCATGGCAAGCTCTCAACTGGGTAACTTGTGCTCAAGGCTCCGGGATGCGAGCCGACAGCAGGCTCAGCAGGACAATGTGTTTGTGCCCAGGCTGGCTGAGTGGAAATCAGACCTTCCATGTAGCTAACTCTCTGGATGGCAGTGTGCTCCTTTAAGGACAAAAGATGAGGGCATGTAAAGAAAGAGACATATTTCAGTATCAGATTCCTGTGAAGACACTGGACCTTCAAGTGTCTGGAACAAAGGGTAATTTAGACAAAAGACCATTATCATGCAGATTCCTAAAAGCCTTCACCCACAGGACGAGTCAGTGTTGAGGTCGTGCGGGAGGAAGGATTTGAGGTGGACCGGTTCTGACAACCCTGCATCATGTACAGACAGTACCAAAAATCCCGTGTGCTGACTTCACTCCCAAAGAGTGTTGCATTCAGTTACTCGCTATTCTAAAGTTTTTACTTTGAAATAATTTTATACTTAGACAAATCTTGAAAATATATTAGAGGCCCTAACACCCTTTACACAGCTTCCATTTCCCCCAGCCACAGTGCGGAGAGTCGGATAAGCTGGTGAAGAACCTGCCATGGAAGCCAGGGCGTTCGATCCCTTGAGCGCTCTGACCGCCAGGTGGTGCTGTGGTACCTGTGTGCCCACCACACCAAACACACAGAATGAAACACCTACATATTTCTCATTTTGCACCCTTCCTCCCCATTCTCACCGTATGTTCAGGTTTGTGCAGATGAGCAGTTGCGTAGGAGAGAGACACTCCCAGCAGGAAATCTTAGGAGATCTTTGGGTATTCATATATCAAGAGCTAGTGGCCATCCACATGACAGCTCTCCGCTGTACGCAACTCCAGTTCCAGGGGTCCAGTGCCTTCTTTTGGCCTTCCCTCAGCACCAGAAATGCTTGTGGCGCACAGACATACACACAGACAAAACAGCCTGTATAGGTAAAATCAAATTATAAAATAATAATAAACTCACAGAGTGGGCAGTTGTAGGTACACTTGTGACTCTCCCAACTGAGGTGAGACAATGTGTCAAGTAATAAGAGGAAGAAAAACTCCAGATGAGTCTAGCTCCAATCATTTGGTTCCTCCTGGCCAATTTCAAATTTCTTGGAGCAGGGAAGGGCTGTCCCTGACAATCCTTGTCTACAGTGTGAAACTGTAAACAAAATAAATTAGCATTCTCTTTTTTAGGTGACTTGTTTGGGGGTTGTCTCGGCTCTCTATTACTGTGTGACATAGCACGTGTAGGTAAAGTTGTTTAAAACAAAAGCCACTTTTCCCCCCAAGAAATTAAGTTATACAAGACAGTAGGAATGAATATCTTCTCAGTGGCATCATTTGGGGCTATTTGACTGGTGATGGAAGGGTCTCCTTTGATGGCAGAGAGGTTTGTTTTGGCTGTCGGCTTAGAATTCAAACAGGTCTGTGAGTTTGGTGGGAACCCACCTGGACCTTGTCACTGGCTACTAAGGCTGAGTTCCAAATGAACATTCTAAGCAGAATTGCATAGTGTCCCTTTGTTCTAGCGTTGGGACCTCCTAAGCATCACACTGGTCATATTCTGATGGTCAAGGCAGTCACAAAGGCCCACCCAAGTTCAAGTGGAGCAGAATATAACGCCTAAAGGGAGGGTGAGTACATTCCAGACGAGCATGTGAATTGGAAAAACAGACTGTATCTAGCTCTGTATTTCCTCCACATGCAACATATTCCTATCCCTCCTCCATCATAGCACCACGCTCCCCCCCCCCCAGGTCCAAGAGCTTCTCACCTCCCAGGCTCAGGTTCAGAAGGAGTTTCTCAAAATGGTCCCTTGGGGGCAGCTCTCTGAGTACCATCCTTCTCCTCTGGATACTTGTGAAATGAGTAAACTCTCCCCAGGAACACAATCCATGAGCTTATGGTTGAAGAGGAATAAGATAACTCCAACTGGTATTCCTAACAGGAGAATGGGAAGCCCACAGGTGCCCCGCCCCTAACAAGCTGAGACTGAGCACAGGCTCCATGCAACCCGTTTCCTGATGAATACGAATGAAAGTCCAGAGTTTGTTTTGTTGTTGTTGTTGTTTTTCAAGACAAAGTTTCTCTGTGTAGCCCTGGCTGTTCTGGAACTCATTCTGCAGACCAGGCTGCCTTTGAACTCAGAGATCCACCTGTCACTACCTCCTGAGTGCTGGGATTAATGGTGTGTGCCACCACACCCGGCCAGAGTTTGCTCTTAATGGCCTTTTCTCCAAATTATTTCTACTCCAATGCTCCATAGAAGTTAGACATGGATGGGAAAGCTGGGAAGGGGATAGAGGCTCAAAACCGATCCCATAGCTTGAGGTACAGCTGTGGACACAGCTGAAGATGAGAATTGTGCAAGCTCTTACAAAAAGACTTCCTCTCAAATCACAGGCTATCTTAAACCTGAGATAA